CCTGCTTGGAGGACTGTAGCCTGAGCGATGTATGTACTTGACAAACAAATCAGAATTCAAATTTGATGAACAACTATGCAAATATCTGTTTAAATTTCTCAAGTGTTTTGACCTTTCTTGCCTGTCAATGTGGAGGTTTCTTGGTGCAGTGTAAACAAAAAGATGACTTCAGAGGTCTCCACCTGGAGTGAAGAACACCAAGTAAAAATCTTCTTGCTTTCTATCCAAGGCCTATACCTAATGACTTTATCCCGGAGGTTCTAAATGCACTTTATCGTGCACCACAATAAAGCCATGAATTACCTCTGTTTCCATGAGGGGCCTGTTACTGCCCAGGCAGTGCTACCTCTGTGCTTGGCTGTGAACAAGGTGGTACTCAGTCCAAATGTTACAATATAGGAATTGCTGCTTAGACTTCAGATTTCAGTTTCTGGTGTATCTGTTCAGTTGGCTAGACCGAACACTAGCTTGAGGGATGTTTTCAGGAAACTGCAAACTTGCCTTTGATGTTTTTATTCCAATTGTCATTCCTTGTTTCCATATTAAAAAAAATATATATATCTTAGTCTTATTTCTTCTCTGGAAAAAAAAAGTGGCATTATCTGTGCTGTTATCTGAGAAGGAAAAGACATTTGAATTCTCACCTCAATTGAGATGAAAGATGTCACCAAGTATTTGAGCATCTGTTATTGCCGGTACTAGACTCATGAGTTGTCCTAGTCTTGGCCTGTCACATTAGCAGAAGGAACATTTTGTTTGTGGTTTGGTTTTTTGATGTTTGATTTTATTCCTCTCTGCAGACTTTGCAGTAGCCAGTTCTGATTCCTCTTCTGTAGCTACCTTCTTAGAGGAAAAGCCAGACACATCAATACTTTATGTGTGTATCTTCTGAATTAAGGTAGCTCTGGCTGGAATTAAGTTTTGCTCTCGCTGGCTTGATACTCGGTAGAAAAAGTCTTCCAGCTTCTTTGGGGCTGGAGCAGTATATTTGGATGTCTTTTTCTTGAATAACTGGTATCTACTTTCATGCCTTTTTCTTTTTCCATACCTCAGTGAAAGTACGAATGATGAACTATCAGAAATATCCCAAGCAGTTGTTATAATTGCCCGTTTCTTACAAGCCTCTGCTGCTGAGATCACACTACTGTATTCATGCTGTGAAACCAGTTAGTATCATGAATATATTGAGGTAGTGTGTTTGCAGTTGGCTGGGTAAGCAGTAGTAGCTCTAGCAACTGACCTAATACAGCAAAAGAGAATGTTCTTTTCCTAAGGGCTGAAAATGGAACTTAATCTACCTGGAGTGAAGAGCCCCCATAGGGGTGACAGCTGCATTTAGCTGTCTTTCAGGAAGTTGAAGAGACTGCTCAAGATCATCTGTGCTAATAACTTAGCCACATTCATACTGTTAACCTTTGCTAGGGGACTATAAACTCATTAAAATTAATTTTTAATACCAATATATTAAATCCATTACCCAATCATATAACTTTCATACCGGCCTTTGTGCTCCAAGGCTTTTCTTCACGCGTGAATCTTGTAAAATCTTGTGAACTGGCGCTGTGCCCTTGCTCATTTTGTGGTTCAGTGGAAAGAAGACTGGGAAAGAATATGCTGCAGATGGCACTAAGAAAGCATGCAATAGCAGTGGCAAGAATAAAGGATTAAGTGCATTATATTGACTGTAGGAATATGTTATGGCCCTCCGGATCCTTTCTATAGAGACAATTTTTAGTCGTGTTCTTTTTTTTTTTTTTCAAAGAGATGTGTGGATGGCAGTCTGATCAAATAGAGAAGAATGTCTGTCTTCAGCCCTGACTCAAAACATTCTTCTAGCCTGATGCAGGAAGCAGAAAACATACCTCAAGATAAATCAAAGACATGTTTATTATTGTAATAAGTGTTGGTTTTGAGTAAGAAAAACCAGTGTTCTTACTGTTGCTTTCATCTTCTACAGGTGATTTTGATGATTTCAGCTTAGAAGATGCAATTGGTAATTATTACACTCTTACAAATTTTGGGAGGTGGGCGGGAAAGTAGTGACTGCTCTTTTGACTTGTTTGTTTCTGAGTATTACTGCATGACTAAGCATGACACCTTCCCCGCATATTATTTATTTAAACCTCAGTGGAACAAATCAGCTATGGGTATGCCAAAATGTTGGCTGCATAAACCTGAAATTTGTCTTTGGGAACGCTCAGAGATTCCTCTTAAGGAGAAAGTGGCTTGCTGTGTAGACTTATCTTGCGCTTTTCATTATGTAGACATAGGCTTACATTTGTCCTTCATGTATCTTCTGAACAGTGTAATAAATAGTATTTAAACTTTTTTTTTCTAACCGTCTCTGACAGAACCTACAAAGAAGCCTCTTCCAACTCGGAAGCCACCATCATCAGATTTCGGTGAGATCTCATTAGCTTGTAATGCCGTTTACTGTGAAGCCGAGTGTAGTTGTACATACTAATTTGAGAGACAGAATTTTTCAATTTAGCAACACACAGAGTTGTGATATTTCTATAAATGAAAGCAGTTCCCTGATAGCAAAAGGATTTTTGCATTTTGGAGTCTTCTGCTAGTGCTTTCACAAATTTACTTTGTGATTTCACAAGCTTAAAAACCCTGTGAGAATCCCTTCTGCTGGCTTTGAACCTGCATGTTTTCAGCTTGCTCATGTTGAGCTGGCCCTTGGCGTGTACCATGATCACCAAAAGCAGCATGTAGTTTGGCAGATAATGCCTGGTAACTCTGTAGTGCTCTTCTGTGGACAGCCGTTGAATGGGCATGCCATTATGTTCTTGGTGAAAACATTGAGAGGTACGTTTTGTGTAAAAATAGTCTAAAACTAGCTCAGTTTTTGCATTATGTTTAAAACTTCCCTTCTTTCTTTGTAGATGATTTCAACTTAGAACACGCTCTTCATCCTGGTAAGTATCATGTTTTCCTGGATACTGCTCAGTGGTACTTGGTGCAATGTCTATCCATCCATTATTACCTAAATGTAATACAGGCACTGAGTTGATTAGGGTAACAGACATAAGATAAAAACAATTGCAGTCTATTTATGTTTATTTACCTTCATTTTTAAGAGTCTGGATTACAAAAACGGTATGTCTTTAACTCATTTCTTAGCCAAGTCCTACTTGTTTCATTGCTATGTCTTCACTAGATGGCACTAATTCCATGAACTGTTACTTATGGAAGTAGTTTTTAAATCTGAAGTAATCTCACCCCTTCCAGGAAGTAATTTTAGAAGCACAAGGAAACATTAATCTGTGTGAAATAATATGAGGGAAGGTACTTTTTCTAATGCGCTTCAGCTCTGCGGTGTGGGCAGCACATTTCAGAAATTGCAGCATTTCATTCGGCCAGTAAAAGGTGCATCCAGTTAGGCGGATAATACACAGTAGCTTTTAAACCTGTTGCAGTATAGGCGGCTTTCCTAACACAGGACATACAGTTGTAGGACAGTAGTACTGTTTGCTGCTGTTTGATTTAGTCCTTTGAAGTTTTGTCTGTCTTAAAGCAATCTGTTTCCAACTGCTGACATTTTTGAAATCAGAGTTAGCTAATTGAGAAACAATTGGCTGAATGAATCAGATGGTTCAGGTAAGTGAAGAGAGAAAATCCTTTATAGGATGGCAAGCCTAAGTGGGGGTCTTAGAACTGTGCTCTGGAGGTACCTGCCTCTTTACTTTGAATATATAGAGAGCCTAAGGAGACCTGATCTGACTTGTGCTGGAGCTGGGAGGAGACAAGACCATGCAACATCAAGAAGTAGCATACAGAAGAAATGGGCCACTGGATTGGTTCAGCTGTTGGTGAAACACAGTTTTAGAAAACCACTGCTAGTGTGTTAATTTGATATGGGCAACAAAGACTGACTAAACAGTACAGAGATAATTACTAATATCTCTTATTCTATTCTGTGGCAAGCTAAATGCCATATCATTGTGGGGGCCATATTTCTGGTTCTATCATGTATATCTTGGTTTTTTGGGTTTTTTTCCCAAGTGAGGTACCAGCCTTTGTTATTGGTTGAAATCTGGTAGTTTTAAAAGAGCAAACAGACATGTAATCTGCACCTGGTAGAAAAATGTGAAGAAGTTCAGCATTTGAAATCAGATGTGCAAACTAAAATGCTGCATAAAACTTACTGAGTTCTTCTGTATACATTCAGTTATAGCAAGGGTCTGACATACAGGCTAATGTAGCAGAATCACTATTAATTGCATTAAAGTACTACAGTGTTTAACCTAAAATAACCAAATAAACGCAGCAGTAGCTAGTGAAAGGAAAGGAAGATGACACAGGGAATATAGTCTTTCACAGTCGCTATATGCTCTGCTTTTGGTTGCTTCACAGTAGTAACTTTGCTCACTTTATTCTTATTTGTCTACAGATGACCCCAAGCCAGGTCCACCTCCAAGTCCCAGAGGCACTGGTAAGACTGACCTAACAGGAATTTCTGAAGAGTAGAAAAGTGTTTGTTAATCTTTCCTAGTCCCTTTCAAAGTTACTGTAATGTAGTCTGCTTTTGATCTCTTGAACTTTTTCTTTTTTTTGCTTTTAAATTTCTCTTTTGTCTGTAGATAAGCCCAAGAAAGGTCCACCTGCACATCCTGCAAACACTGGTAAGGCTTCCAGCACAAAATCCTGAACCATGCAATGGTTTTACTCTCTCGGTTAAACTTATAATAATTACACCTGGTTAACTGGCTGCTATGTATGTCTATGTGGCACTAGGTGAACACTGAGGATTGAGGAAAAATTGTCTTGCAAATAAGCTTTGCAGCAGTCTTGAAATTTCGTGACAAACCTGTTGAGTCACTTTACTTTCACTTAAAAGTGGGATGGTGTGGGGAGGAGGAAGAATGGAACAGTGTGTGTGCTTGGGGCAATGCTGTTCTTGGCTGCCTATGGTGGAGCACCTGTGTATTGGATTGAGTCCTTTCATCTTTACAAACTGAATCCCTTCTAGTCATGCTAAAATGTCAGTCGGAGCTACCTCTGAACTGTATTCTTAAAGCATCTAAATGAAAGGTAGTAAAGCTCAAAATTAAAGGGTTACTTATTTTTTAGTTTTTCTTTTAAAGACCCTGGTTAAGAAATACAGTTCTTTTGTGTTTGGAAGGTAAGTTTAAAATACATATCCTTCCCTGCCCATTGTGCTTTAGAGGTCTTCTCTGGCTTTGCCTAACTCGGAACAAAATAGATTCAGGTGGATGCAGCTGTGATGATGCCATTATCCAGGAATATAGTGGTAAAGAGTCCTTACCTGAAATGCAAGCCCTGGTTCTTGTTCCTTGTCCTGCCTGATTTGCAGCAGATGTTTGAATTCAGGTCTTGCATGCCTTGGTACTGTGCTTTTGCCACTCAACTAAAACATCCTCTGATGCAATGGTTTCAGCTTTGCTGCTTGAAACAGATTTGCTTTGCAGAATGCAAAGATTCATTTGGCAGCAGAAGGAAGGAGGAGAACTCAGGTCCCATGTGGTAGAGTGCAGTGGAAACGGAGAGGAACTGGTTCAATGTCCTGCAATAAATCAGGGAAGGGAATTATGTTTGGATCTTTCCATTGTCAGGCAAATACTGCAGCCACTGGACTGTGGCATATGAAACTTTTTTTTTTTAACTCCTCCTTCTAGCTAGTGTGTTGTACAGGTTCAAAAGATTGTGGCTTAGAGAAAAACAGCTCTGAAGAAACAGTCTAACAGCTGCAGCCCTGGAAATAAACGGTCCTGTCCTGTCCATGTCCTTTCTCTGCTTTAAAGAGATAGTGAGTCTTGGGCTGTTCCACTTAAGTAGCTTATGGAGCTTCTTGTTTGCTTATCCTGTGACTTGTGCCGTACTGCCTGCTCTTGGACACTGACTTCTCTAAGTTGTTCAGGAAGTCCAGAGGCAGCAATGCTGCTATCAAACTGTATAGTGCCAAGCTGAAGGGACATGAGATTGGGAGGGCTTTTGAAACATGAACGTGTTGTGACTATGACATGGAGCCTAAAACCACCACAAACTCAGCTGAATGATCTAGAGAAAACTTCCATGTTATTTGGTGCCTTGAGGTGTCTTTTCACTGAACTTAAAACGTGTAAGATATTTTATTTTTTTTTTATAGGCAACATTGATGATTCAGATCTATTGGATGGCAGTTTACCAAAAGGAGGAGGTGATGGTGGTGGCAGCAATGGTGAGATAGTAGGTTGTGCTTCATATTGATCCTATGGCTACCTGAGCTTTTGATAAAAGCTTGCTCGCAAACTGGTTAACATGGTCCAACTTATAAAACCCTTGATTCTGGTATGTGAAACTGAAGAGCATACCTTCCGTTTCAAAAGCAATGTATTCTGTCTCTGCCAAAAAAAACCCCCAGATAATTAAGAGGTAAAACTGATCTAGGAACCTGCAGTCATTTTCACTGTTATGCTAAGAAAGATGAGTTTTAAAACTGAGATGTGAATGTAGGTATTTATTTCAAAATTCACCACGAATATAGTTCTTTAAGGCATCCAGGTGTTATTTTCAGGTCTTCTGTGACATGCTCTCAGTTTCTTTTCGTTCTTGTGGCTAGGAAGCCCAGGAATGGGCCAGAAGAGAGTCCACCTTGTGTTCTCAAAGATTTCATGTGTCCCACAGGATGAATTGATCCTTAGACTTCCAAGTGATGTAGGTTATATCTACTCTGAGCAGTGTAAAAAACAAATGTGTTTGGAGTAATCTGCCATGTCTAATTGTTATGGCACAGCTCAGTACAAAGGTGGTCATTGAGACCAAGCTGCAGTAATGGTCTGTCATTAGGATGGAGTCAGTTGTCTCTGTATGTATTACTGCAAATTTACTATTTCCAGGTCAGAGTTAGGTTAAGTATCTTGATGTAATGTTCAGACGTGCTGCTGGTTGCTGATTTCTTCAGAGAGTTGTCCCAGACAGAGATCACTGATACTAATTTTTTGGGCAGCTTTCACCTTCCAAGGTTCCTTTGGGGCAATAACTTGAAAACTGGCAGGGGCAAGAAGCATCTGTTGAGACTTGTGTGGTGTTTTCATCTACACAGGTTCCTGCTTCAGTGACACAAGTTGCATAGTGCAAAATAAGGATAGCCTTTACAGAACTTGTGTCTCGTTTGCCAAGAGAATTGCAAAAATATTTAGTAAATGAGGGTGAGATTTTAGGAAAACAGAGTTGATTTCATGGAAGTACATTTGAATGCTACACTGAAATTTTATGTTGTTCCTCTCCACTGAGTATTCTCTGGTGCTGGACAAGTTGATTAAACAAGATTTCACAGGGGTGCTGTGCTCATTCTGTAGAAGTGCTAAGTACCCAAGGCTGAAGTTGGCATCACCATGAGATATGCTTTGAAAATAGAAAGTTTGCGTGCCATAGAGCTTAGCACTGTATGGATATAGTAGATGTCTCTTAATTTTGCGTCATTAATTGAAAAAAAGGTTGTTAGTTGTGATATGATTGTTCTTTAGACATGTAAAATCTAAACGTTTTGTTCATTTTTACAGAACGAAAGGGCTCAAGTCCAAATAAGAGCGAAGAAGGTGAGGGTAGATGCATAAATTTGTGTGTCGTGGTGTCTGCATGTCTGGAGCCTGTTTTCTCGTGTTTTCTTGTGTTTTCTGTATTGCTAGTATTCTGCTAGAATGTTCACTATTGGTAGTGGGTTTTCAGCTTAAAAACTTTTATATAATCTAGAATTCTTACTTTCAAGCTCTGCTTTCATAGTTCTTTAAAATCTCTATATTGCAAATGATTCAGAAGTGTTAAGGTCTCAGAGATGCCGGTGCAATGATTGCATGGATACAACTTAGATTTAGCTATGAAAGGGTAGCTTTTTTAATTAGTGGAACTTATGACAGGCATACTTCAGTTGTTTTAATGATAGACATTGCTAAGAAATCAGTGATTGTAAAATGGGAGGATTCACTTTTCGTTATTCACAAAGACAGATGTGATTACTACAGTTTCATGTAATAATTTCAGTTTATTGGGTTTTGGAAGTGTTCACAGGGTTTACTTTCAGACAATACAAGTTTGACATTGCTTTAGATTCTGACAAACATATACAAACCTCTTTTTTCAGCTTCTGAGGGAGCAATAGCTGGAATTGTAAGTGCTGTGGTTGCTACTGTTATTGGAGCAGTATCTAGTTTCATTGCTTACCAGAAGAAGAAACTCTGTTTCAAACAAAGCGGTAAGAATTCTAAATTAGTTTCCTTTTCTACTGTCTAAAGGGATGAGTTTTGGTATTTATGTGGGGCTAGAGATTGATCTTCTGCATAAGGTAGTTTTAACAACACAGTGAATTTGTGTTCTCAGGGCGTAACCTCTCTTACTAGCCATCTGAGACAGAGTGTCTGAAGAATGCCTTGCCCAAAATTTAGATTTTCAGAAGCAGACAGACTTAAGGCTTTGCATTTCTTAAAACAAAAGCATTTCCTTCTAAAAAGTAGGAAGGAGAGACTGCAAGAAAACATTTTTTTAAGGAAAATTGAGTGGAGGTTGGAGTTTAGAGACTATTTTCATGCTGGATAATACCTTGTCATCTGTAATTTTGTAAATCTTGCCTTTGTGTCTTCACAAGATGCTTGCCTACATATTAGGTTTCTGACAACTACCTGGATGTTCATCCCCAAATGGTTCTTTCTTCTGCAGTTGTTTGTTGCTTGCTATCTACTTCCTTTCCACCTAAATATGCTCTAACTTGGATCAGAGAACTTGGGGAGTACTGTGGGTAATAGGTGGGGCAGAAGCTTTGTTTTTGTCCTTTCTAGTCTTTCTGACCAGTTGGTAAGGGAGATGATAGCGCAGCAACCCAGCCAGGCACTGCTGCTTTGTAATTTGGGAAGTTTGGAAACTGGGTAACATCTTTCCTGCACATTACAATTAATATGCAGGCAACACAAGGGAAACTCAACTACTATCAATAGGTCAGTTTCTCCAGTGCTGTTTCTTCTCTCAAATTATCTCTGTTAATCACAGCTTTGAAGATTAGAGAATTCGAATGCTAAACACCTTTGTTTCCCAGCAGATGAAGAGAATGTGAATATGGAAAGCCATCGGGGAGCGCAATCTGAGCCACCTGGTAAGAGAATAATCTAGATGGAAGATCAACTTTTTGGTGGGGATTCTATTAAAGGCATTTTACTGACATCTAACTTAATGGAGAAAATTACTTGCACTGTTTTGTTTTGTTTCAAAAAAAAATATTTGTAACTGCCATGAAAACTAACTTCAAACTGAATCAAGATTTCAGTTCTGATAATATGGCCACTCTTCTCTAGTTTTTTGTTCTTTGAACAGATTGGTTTTAATGCCTTGAGGAGTCCTTGAAATGCAGGAGCTTAGAGAAAGTATTGAATTGAATTTTCTCTGCAAAAGTGTTGTTAAAGAAATTCTGAAAACTCAAGCCTACTCCTTTAGTGTGACACTTTACTGCAATTAGCTGACAGGTGTTTTATTAGCGTATGTTGTGTCTGATTGGAATCTGATACCTTATTTGATTGTAAACCCATATAGAACTCTGCAAGAACATATATTAACAAATGTCAGTAGTGTTTGGGCAGAAATGAAACTACACTACAGGCAAGGAGGACTGAACTTGATAGCTTGTTGTAACTAAAAATGTTCTTTGTGAACAGAGAGTGATTCTGCTATGAAAGAATCATCAAATATCAAATCTTTCTACAATGGTGGCAGCTGCAGAAGGATCTTTTTTAAAGCAACGAAACCCCTAACCTCACCCTTCCAGGTTTATGGTTGTCTAGGGTGCTTGGCTGATGGAACAGGTGATTATTTCCAGGAAAGCCATAGATAAATCTGGAGGAAACAGTATAGGTGAAAGCTTAGCCTTCTAGCCCCTTGTGACTGGTCAACAAAGGATGCAGCCCCTCGTGCTGAAGTTTGTCGAGTGTGTTTGAAAAAACACTGAATATTAAAATCTCAAAGCAGTATAAATTTGCAATATATTCTTCTTTGAACTTAATCTGAAACCCACAGAACTAGTTCTGGTGCTTTTTTATAGTTTAACAAAATTAATATACCTTATTTCTTTCTAGTGATTTATCAGTTTGCTAAAAACTTCCATTTGGATCATGATCCTCTTTAGCAACATTTTTCCTTTAAGCTGTTAAATATATAAAACTCTCAAGGAGAAAATGTTTTCTTGTGGCTGGCTGTTGAAGTCAGGACTGCAGATAGGCAGGTATCCTCAATTCAGCTATGCATTAGTGAAGCAAGCAGTATTGTTCAAAGACACCTACCAAAGGCAGTTAACATATGAGTTGGAGTCAGGATATGCTAAAATTTTGGCCAAGATTCACCAGAACTCAGGTGTGAAATGCTTCAGATGATGTATACTTTATTATAACCAGTAAAGTCAAACCTGGGATGTTGCCATAAATGATTACTGCTGCCTACATATTGATGTCATATTAAATCCCAAATTTTAAACCTCTGTTATATTTTGCGGGCAAGCATGAGCATGTTTTGAGTCAAGAAACCAGGCAGCCATGGTCAGCATGGTGCTACTCCTAATTAAGTCAGCAGACATTAGCTCTGCTTTTGATAATGTAGTGTTGACGTACCTACAAAGCTTCTAGTTAGAAGCAATCTTGCATTAAGCCAGGTCAGATGGCATGGCAGAACAGGTTCGCGTTTTTAAAATTTTATGTAGACTTAGGTTTGACTTCCTGAAGATGTGGATAACCGAGGCTAGCACCTTCTTTCAATAACCCACTTTTTCCATCAGCTACGCAGACTGTACGCCATTTCATTTTCACATCTGCAAAACTGCAAGTCTGAAACTTCACGTTGGGGTATACTGCACGTGTAGATAGCTACACGGATGTCGTAGGATGTGGTTATTGGAGTGAGAAACCTGGGAAACCTTTGTATGCAGGGTACCGGCTACACAGAATCAAGCCTCTGCTTACCTGAATTTATCTCACAGTTTCAAATGCCTACTGAAAATGTCCATTGTCCACATATACTCTTACATAGTAATAATAACTTAAAAGGTATACTAACTTAATGTACTGATCTCAAGTTGTTTTTCCCTTTTTAGTTCAGCGCACACTTCTGGAGAACTAAATTAAAGAAAATATGATGAGGAACAGACCAATGAAACTGGATGGAGAGCCTGCATTCTGCCTGGGAAAAAGAAAAAAAGGAAACAAAAAAAGCATAATAAAAAAGCAGAGTCTGAAGTTGCATGAGGAAACAGATCTTGTTTGAAACACCTCTGGGAGCGTGACTTAGGCCTGAGTACTTTTGTATGGTTAGCCCTGTGAAATATTGTTGCACACCAATATATGGCCTTAATGACAGGAGTGTAGAAGTATGTTGTGCCTTCACATTCTTTCCTGTACTCCTGTGACAAATGGGTGTGTCTCAAGTGCATTCAGTATGTTTAACTTTTCCTTACCTCTCCAAAAACAATAAGCAATTAATGTTTTGCTACACCATTGCTTTCAGGCAGTGCAAGCATTTTTTTAATATCCTGTACGCAGTAAGTGTACCAACCAAACAACTTGGTATATGGTGTAGGCACCTGAAAGCAAATGGCTCACTGTGTGTGGATAATGGATCTGGGTGTGGGTGCTGCTGGTACAATCTGCGTAGCTGCCTAGGTCAGCCACCAGGGAAGAGAGACGTGTTCTTGAGCATTCAAGAGACAAAAATTCAGAGTTTTGATTTTGCATTTTGTTCATTGCATCTGTCTGGTACAGATTCAGAACACCAGAACTAGTGCACGCAGACCCTTTGTCCTTTCTGGCTCTTCTTGCTTAGCAAGTACTGAGCTGGTCAGATGTGGAAAAGCCTGATTTTTCAAATCAGAACCATAATTGGATTTTGTACATCTGGTGAGATTGATGATTGACAGCTGTCTGAACAGTTGTGGATGAAGTATCAGGGAGTGGGGATTAACATATTCAGTCTTCCATAACCAAAAAATTTAACAGAAAATAATGTTATACTTTGAATTTGGAAGGCTTCCCATACACACTTAAAAGACAGAAACTGCTACAGTTTGAAAGTTCATAACAGCCAGACTGACCAGAACAACCCAACCTCACTCCACAAGCATCCACTGAACAGTGGAAGTAGCATATGTGTGAAGAATGCTTTTGGACTTGTGAAGGATTGCCATCAGGGTGAGGACCTGTATCGCATCCTCAATTGAAGGCACTTGTGAGATTTGCTGTGGCTCTTGAAAGCCACAGGAAGGTTTCAAGGATCTGTGGAAACATGGAAAACTGTGCAACTCATACCAGTTAAAGGACTAAGTCTGGAATAATAACTAGTTCTGTCTGGAAGGAATAGTCTGACCAGTTCTGTTGGCTTTTATTCTAATCGTTTCCAATTTTCATGCAGTTTTACAATGTGTGTCTTACTAATGTGCTTCAGCCACCTGGCAAAGTTCTACAGAAAGATGACATTTCATGGAACATCTTAGAAGTAATTATGAATTTGGATATTAAACATGCAAATTTATCTGTGCATTCAAGTATGAATGTAAACCAAGGATAATTCATTTAAGAATTTCTTGTACATGTTTCTTAGCTTGCAACAAAGCTTTATGTAGGTCTTAGTATTTTCTTATGGAATTAATTTGTAAACCTCTTTTTGCCCCACTTCTACTTTTAGTATAAAAGTGCTAAAACCTTTAAGTGTGTTTTAAGGGTGGAGAATTGATTTTTGTATAAACATTTGATGTATATAAACATAGAGAAATGAAACGTACTGCTCACCTGCATGAATCAACAGGTATCTCGTATCAACACCAATTGTAGAGAAAACAGAAATAAGCCAGTGTTCGTTAGGGATGGAACAGCAGGGGAAGCTCAAACTAGCTTTTAGCTAATCAGACTCTTGAATCCTTCTTCAGCTTTTGCAAGCCTAAAAATTACTTATTAAAACCTCCTATCAATGTTGTGATTTTTCTAAAAATAAATTAAAAAAAAAAAAGAACGTTTATGTATTTTCCTTCTTAGTAGCTCTAGAAATACAAAAATTTTGGTGCTCTGCTAGAGAAGCAGTCTTCAAAGGGAGTTTGTCTTCCTGCTTCAGCAGCAATTCAGGTTTATTTCTTACAGACATTTTAATCGTTGTAGAAGGAAGTTGGCCAGTAGCAACAAAGCTGTGCACTGCTTTCACGGGGTGCTTACCAGTGCTAAGTGCAGAGAAGACATCTATGTGAAGGAAAGGCATGGCTTTTGAAGAACACCTGGATTTGATGACAGAATCTACTGAAAACATGCACAGCAATGGAAGGCTTAGTATCGGCAAACTTAATGATGTTTGTGTTGAGAAGGAAGAAGGACTGGCTGCTGCCACCTAGGAAGAAAAAGTTAAGAGAAGGCTTGAAATTTCAGGCTGATCTTTTGTAGTGAGCAAGAAACTGCTGCTTTATGGGTTTCTGTTGTTTACCTATGGATAAAACTTAGCAGTTCACTTATTTTTCAGTTATCATGGAGAAGAAGAGACTGAGGGGGGACCTCCTTAATGTTTATAAATATGTAAAGGGTGACTGTCGTGAGGATGGAGCCAGGCTCTTCTCACTGGCATCCAATGATAGGACAAGGGGAAATGGATATAAGTTGGAACATAGGAGGTTCGCTTAAACATGAGGAAGAACTTCTTCCCAGTAAGGGTAACAGAACACTGGGAACAGGCTGCCCAGAGAGGTTGTGGAGTCTCCTTCTATGGAGATGTTCAAAACCCTCCTGGATGCGTTCTTGTGTGATCTAATCTAGGTGGTCCTGCTCAGGCAGGGGGATTGGACTAGATGATCCGTTGAGGTCCCTTCCAATCCCTAACATTCTGTGATTCTGTGATCAGGGTATTAATTGCTACGTTGCTGTTTGTCTCACTCTCCATTGAGACTTCAATCTTGTGCCCTCTTAGCTCAGCTGCTCTTGCATTGCCTAACTAAATATCCTAATTTGTTAATTCTCACATTCGTTGGGGCAAGAAACATGATGAGTTAGCAATTATTCATCACCCTACTGGAGTACTTTCATGGTCATTTCCCAGGGGGTCACCTGCTGCCCATCATGGCCTTATGGGCTTCTCAGTGACTTTCAGATCCCAGTTTGGGA